GAGAAAAGCCCTTCCAACTCAGATGTGGGCACCTCACTCGATCTGCTGTCTTCGCAAAAAGCTGGAGACTCCTCCGTGGCTTGCGCCAGCATCGCCACGCCTTCCACGACTTCATCCAGCCTCCCGAAGCCCGGAGACCCCGGGGCGCCTCCTCTGCCGGACGAGGTAATGGTCGAGTCCCCCTCCAGCATAGATGCTGGAGCGCCGGGGTGCACTAGCAGTGGAGGCGATCCAAACTTCCAGCCCCTCCGGTCGCGCTCCCTCACGCCAACTTCAACTAGGAGCATCTTTTAGGAGCATATCTCAATAAGACAGTTCTCAACCGGTTAAAAAGACAACCACAACACTCACTCTCTCTTTTTCAGTGATATTCGTGCCTTCAATGAGGCAGTTGGTGAGAAATTGCTGCACATGGGCATATACTGTATACTACCACTATATTAGCTAACTTTTAGAATGAAAATGGGGGCATTTTCTCATCAGCTAGGCTGGGATAACTTTTAAAGATTGTTTTTTTTGTTTTTCAAATGGTGCCAATTTGTTACCAAACCAAACCCTAGGGGATGGAGATTGCCTAGTTTAAAATGGAAAATATGACTAAAATGAGACAACGGTGCCATCAAAGAAGAAAGAGGAAATCTGCGCGTGCATCAGATGCATTTCTAACGCGGTTAGATTTCCAGCGTGATGTGTCAGGAGTGAAGAAAATGTGACTCACCTTCTCTAACCTCTCCTACTCCCCTTCTGTGACAGGAGGTGTGATTTTTCTGATGAGCTGTAAAGGCCGAATGCAGTTTCTATGTTGTACACACTTGAACGACTACTTGAGCATATATATCCATGTGTGTGCGTATAAAGAGCCAGTCTTGGAGCAGAACTCCAGCTCATGTTTTTCTGTTGTTTGTTTTCATGTGTGTGCATTAAGTCATCAAGAATTTGCTTCATGTTTTTGTCACTACAATAGTCTTGAATTAGTAAACATAGTTTCAGTGACATCCTATTTCTTTCTTTATTCACTGGTCATGTAATAATAAAACTAAAGGTTGTTCATATATGAACTGGGCTTGTGTTTCTTTTTTCCTTTTTTCATTGTGTGGTTGATTTCCTGCTCCTGCAGTGATTATGAAAAATCTAAATGTTAGAGTGCCGATAATTGTTAAAATAGGGCATCATCTGTCGAGGTCAAAATGAAGTTATTGACAGGCCTCCAACGTCTAAATGTGTCGTCAGCTTCTGGGTGCGCAGACGTGCTTTTTTTTTTTTACTTCTGGAAAAAACTGGAAAAGCTACAAGTGGCGCAGAGGAATGACAGTCATTGTGGTGACGGCTGCAGTGCTGACTGTATCACCTGGTTTTTCACACACCGCTGAGAAGCCCTGAGTGTTAGACTGGGTGAACTTTGGGTCGCTGGTGCTCGGCGAACGCTAACAGGTATTTAATTTATTTCCATAATTATATGTAGAGTGAAGTTTAACACATGTAGTTAGCATCTGATTTTAAAATATATATAATTATATAACATATAATACCTATATGTTATATAGGTATTATATGTTTGTTATTATATGTTAACATATAATAACATCCAATATAAGCAGCTAACTTTTATTTATTAACCAAAAATATGTGTAGTAATTATTTTCACACACCTCTCAAATCTGTACATTTCTCTGGTACTGATGCTCCCTGTTGCAGGAAGCCCTATGAGCTAAAATGGGTCAGTGTGTGCTAACCACACAGCTGTGGTTTTGTAGTGTGTTGTGGCTCAGTGTTGCATAATTAGTATGTATTGAAGTATAACAATTAAACTATAAAGAAGAGAATAGTAGCAGTGTACACAGGCTGGAGAACCAGTTAGATCAGGATGACTGGAATGGCCAGATGCTTTCTTTATCTATTAAACATTTCTGATGCAGGTGTCACAAAGCTGCCTTCAGTCTAATGGAGGACTCCAAGCAGCTTTTGGCTGCCAGGTCAGAGGAGAGTCAGCGAAACGGCTGCTGCGGCTTAGATACAAAGATGGTGGAGGATTTCCGACGGAGGCTCAAATACTTCTTCATGAATCCCTGCGAGAAGTACAGAGCCAGGGGTCGGAAACCATGGAAACTGACGATACAAATATTAAAAATTGCAATCACT